GCGTGTTAACAGGCTTTTAGAACATGATAAGTTGCAACACACTATACATCGCTGTGGTGCCACCTACATTGCATTCAACCGCCTGCAGATGCATGATAAGACTCTGGAATGTTTAGTTAGCAGTCAGTAAATTGACCTTGCTGTTTACTTAACCGACTATAAAGGAAAATGCTTTGCCTTCTTCAAGCTGTGTGTATCAACCAGTAGCTAGTGGGGAGAATGGATCATGGACAAATTCTCCTCTGATGACCTAGCTGACCTGCCTTGTGAGACGCGTAGTAATGGATTAATTATCATTCAGACAGCGACAGTGATGGGGAACAACAAAGAATTGTGGCCACAGACAGTAAAAGTGACAGTAGCTCCATCGATAATGCAGGCAATAACATTGTGCGTAGTAACATTGCGGGGGCAGCAAAAAATCTAAACCCTGATTCAAAATTGAAATAAAAAGCATTTCTGATGAATGTGGGAAAGGCCTAGGCTACGGTCCAGATGGTGGCGCCAGAACCAGGGTCACACAAAGACTTAGTATGACCGGGCCCATCAACTCCCACCCCACGAAGGCCTCATGTGGACCCCCCAGTGCAACTCTTGAGTGATATGCGGAAAAATACCCTCGTGAAAATTGTGAAGAGTGAACATTCCAAGGGGAAGAATACTTCTAGGCAATGCCATGTTTGCACTGTTCACAAAAAAAGGAGTATGTCTACATTTGCAAGTTCTGTGTAATGCCACTTCACAAAGGGGAAAGTTTCCAGAAATATCACACCCTCAAGCACTTCTAGGAGCATTGGTAAGTGTTCTCCAAAAATTTTAGTTCAAAAAATTAATTAGGAGATTTTATATTAATTTTTAAAGTGAACAGTGCACAAGTTAGGGTAGTATGTTTAAAAATGCCGGTCCCCAGGGTGATTTAAATATTTAAATCACTGGTCCGCGAAGTGTTAAATTCATAGTGGCTCTTAAAAACATGCACAATGCGAGATGATTTGTACAAACTGAAAAGATGGAACTGTTGTTAATACATAGTTAACTGAAAACAGACGTAAAAACATTTGCAACTATCTGTTTTCACCGTGAAAAATTATTGTTGTAAAAATACAATATTCTCCAAGAAAAAGACTTTTAGTTCATTCAGAAACCATGAGAAAAATGAAAAAAGGATTATGAGATATATCTCTTGACACCATGGAAGTGTTAAATGAACGTGTAAACACAGGCTCTGGTTTAAGTAATTGAAAAGTTGGTCACATCATGTAAAAATATAAGGTTATGAACAGTGTTAAAGTGAGCAAAGTATCCGAGGGAAATATGAGTGATGAAGAATTCCCTGTGAGAAGTGCTTCAGGTGAGGAATTGGGGGGCGGGAAATGCAAGTTGAAGATCTAAATTGCTCTGTCACTGTGTTAGAATGTTGTTGCAAAAATAAGTAGGATAGGTTATGGGAAATGAAAGGTTGCACAGACAAGTCATTTTTCACTTAGAAAGATACTGAGGTGCTCATTTTGCCCGGTATATCATCTCAAGCCCTGGACACTAAGACAGACAAACTTTAATGTTAATTAGAGCAGGAATGTACAACGTTTTATAAACAGAAGGTTCGAAAGTGCCAGTTCCAGACAGATGCACAGTTTAGAGGACAGCAGATTAATTTGGAGTTTCAAAATGTGTGATAAGTGAAGCTGATGCATTGAAGGAGGAACAGAGGGTTCCACCTAAATCAGCAAAGAATCTGGGAAAACCTCTTATTGAAAAATTTGTACATAAAGCAAATGCAATTTATGAAGATGATGAATTCTTTGGATTTGTCCAGGAAATAAAATACATCTTTATTTTTTGCATCCTATTGTGTATTACTATTAGTGTTATTATACAACCATCAACACAGCAAATTTGTAATAAATAAACCACTGTTACTNTGTACAAACTGAAAAGATGGAACTGTTGTTAATACATAGTTAACTGAAAACAGACGTAAAAACATTTGCAACTATCTGCTTTCACCATGAAAAATTATTGTTGTAAAAATACAATATTCTCCAAGAAAAAGACTTTTAGTTCATTCAGAAACCATGAGAAAAATGAAAAAAGGATTATGAGATATATCTCTTGACACCATGGAAGTGTTAAATGAACGTGTAAACACAGGCTCTGGTTTAAGTAATTGAAAAGTTGGTCACATCATGTAAAAATATAAGGTTATGAACAGTGTTAAAGTGAGCAAAGTATCCGAGGGAAATATGAGTGATGAAGAATTCCCTGTGAGAAGTGCTTCAGGTGAGGATTTGGGGGGCAGGAAATGCAAGTTGAAGATCTAAATTGCTCTGTAACTGTGTTAGAATGTTGTTGCAAAAATAAATAGGATAGGTTATGGGAAATGAAAGGTTGCACAAATAGAACCACAGAAGGGGAACAACCACTAACTAATAGCAAGAAGACGTACCCCATACAGGACACAGTGCAACATACACAGTAACTTTACCACTGTCACTCACGGCACCACACAAGGAAAATAGAACATGCACCACTTACATGTGGTAAAAAGCCCCACCATATGTGCACAAAATAATTAAAAAGAACACGGACTCCCAGAAAACCCTTCCACTCTACAACATCACAGACTTGTACTTTGCCCTAAAATAAATAATTTTAGTTTAATTTTAAGTTCTATTTAGGACTAATATTCTAATGTAATGAAACACAAGAGTTGTAACTAAATTTAAGTTAATAACCACTAATATGTATCAACATTAAAATTACAGTTTAGTAGTGCATTTCATGAATATTAATAAAGTAACACTGGTTTATGTGTTACAAAATCATTGTGTTGATGGTTGTATAATGATACTATAAAGAAATTATGTCAGTCACAACTGCAGAGCCAAAAAGAGTTTATAAACAGAAAACACTATTGCTTGATAATCTCAAATACATGTACTTGGAATTTAAAACACAATTCTCAAAACTGCTCTTTATAGCCACTGTGGTTTGTAACCGTGGAATAATTCATTTTGCATGTGAAGTGCATCAGAATTTCAAGTTGATGGCTGGCGAACTGCCAGAACAGAAAAGCCACAGATCTCTTTTAATACGTAGTATTCTTCACAGATTTTCAACATGTTGAGGACAGTCAGCTGCAAATTCTTACTTAAGTTTTGATGCAGAAGACAGTACAGTTTACTGGCAATGGCTTAATGGGGCACATGCCAAAAATGTATCCATGAAAAGTGCTTCTGGTGAGCTTGTTGGAAAAATCAGCTAAGCAGTAGATGTGCAACAAGCCGTCAATACACACTAAAATCTCAAGCTTCATATTTAAAGATGATGAAAGAAGCCATGTTGTCAAACACAAGCTGTTATTTTACTTCATTTCTTGGAGAACTGTTCATTTTTTTGTCAAGCTGCCATAAACAGGTCCCACTGGGAAAGTGATCAAGCCCTGCCCTTTGTAGTTTATTATTGCATGTCAGGACCAGAACATAACATGACAGGAGAGTAAATTTCTGTGTCCTTGGTGACTCTCTTGAGCACCCAGCAACTATAATCTGCTGTTTCTTAAGTTAAATTGTACATTGCTTGCTTTTAAATGTTCTGCTGATGTATTTCAGTGATGGTGCAGATTCACAGTATAAGAACTGTAAAACTTTTTGAAGTTGTGTTATCATGCAGAAAGTTTTCATGTAGCTGCTGAGTGCAATTTCTTTTCGACATTGCATGGCAAAAGTCCTTGTGATGGACGTGGTGGAAC